CTTTTTATTATTATTTTTTGTCAAATAATAAAACTATCATGCAGACTCACCTTGAAAAATCACTTTTGATTACTTTACTCTGCTAAAGCTTCAAGGGGGCATTGCCAATTTAATTCCCACTGGGGCGCTGCGCGGACCGCGGCGGGTGCTTAGGCAACCCCTGCACCCCTGGCTACTTTTCAGATTTTTTTTCAGAGGGGAAGTAAACATCACTAGGATTTTCTTATAATGGTTGCTATTGTAGTGCGGAGGGGAAATGTGAAGAAGGACTTGGACATTCCCTTATTTCAGATTAAAAAAGAGCAGATCTTTGCAATGGAGATAGACAGACAGCAGAGACACATGGCCATCTATGCATGTGTTTATGTCTGTGTATCTGGGGAGGCAGACCTAGCTTGGGAAGGGTTAGTCCCCCTGCCTCCCATCACTAGAAGTAGGAAAAAATTAGCAAATGCCAGCAGAGAGCAGCAACTCACAGGGCCATGGGGTACAGGGCATCCAAAAGGGCCCAGATGGGAGGGAGATAGATGGGGGAGGGAGGATTTGAATTGAAGGAGAAAATGGCAGGCAAGAAACATACAATGACCACAATTGGGATTACTTGAAACTGACATTGCTAAACAGTGCAGTCCTGTGATCTTTTGCTTAATGACATCGCCCAGCAACTGAAATTCTGGTCCAAGTTGGGTTGTTAAACGAGGACTATCTCTAAAAAGCAGTGCATTTCTAAAAGGCGGTCAGATAAGTAGGCACAGCCTATTAAATAAATGTATATCTAAATTTATATGGCAGAGGAAAAACCCAGAGTGAAATATAAATTATTACAGGATGCCAAGAAAAAAGGAGGATTTGGCCTTCCAGATTTTGAATTATATTATGATGCTGCTATATTAAACTGACTTAAGGATTGGGTTAAATTAGAAAATAGAAGGTTATTAGTATTAGAAGGTGTTAGGGATAACATTGGTTACCTAGCTTAGTTTGGGTAAAATAATATATAAACTATGTTAGTGAGTTTAAGTGTATGTATCACTTTAAACTGTAAACCAAGTATTTTGGGTGCGGTTGTAAAATCACCATAAGAGGGAGCAAGAGAGCTCACTGTTTCCCTGGCTTTTACTGGAATGCTGACAATGATAGATTGATGGTGATAACTGCGTGTTTGCTGAGAGAAGAAAAGGGGTTTGATTTTTCTTCATATCTCTGACTGCAAAAGAGATATATCACTGGACTGATATTGTAAGTTTAATGAACTCTTTTTCGACACTGGACTTTGCAAACTGAATAACCCCCGGACTGACTGAACTTAGTGTATGACATATGGACTGTTTGACTATGCTATAACTCTTGCTGGAATAAAAACTATTTAACTTGCACAGTGTATCTGTCTTACTGAGTGTAAGCTACTACAACGTTTTGTCTCACATATCTGCCTGTCTGCTAGACTGCCGTTGCACGTTCTGCTAGGGTGTATATCCCTAACAGAAGGTTTTGATCTCCAACTTGGCTGGCACGCCTTCATGTGGGATGGAAAATCTAAGCAACATTCATATTTCCAAAGGCACCATGTAAGAAATATGTTGTTCAATATCTGGGGAAAGATTAAAAAAAAAACACTACCCAAAGGTTCCATTGTGGCTTACTACATTGGAAGCAGTCACACATCCAAATGTATTGGATTATGAAAATATTGTTAGGTATAAAGATTTATTATATGACACTGGAGAGCTTAAAAATAGGAACTAAACACAAATTCAAGGAAAGGAGATAGCATGGTGGCCCTTTGCACAAATACAAACTCATTATAAAAAAAATAGAGAACAATTTGGCTTTAATATGACTCCACAAGAATTAGATAAAATATGGCTAGGAGAGGAAAAGAAAACAATTAATTAAACATAAATATCTTTTGGACTACAAATTAAAAGAAGAAACAGTTACAGAATCTATGATAATTTGGGCTAAAAACATGGGTCATAGTATTGAATTAGATAAGTGGGAACACATTTGGCAGACAAATTTCAAATGAACCATGTCAGTCTCGTATAAAGGAAACTTGTATAAAATGGTTCATTACTGGCACCTACCTCCTGCGAGACTGGTTAAGATGTTTCCCAATCTACCACCCAACTGTTGGAAATGTAACTATGCACAAGGAACATATTTTCACATGTGGTGGACTTGCCCATCTGCTCAGAAATTTTGGAGAAAGATTAGAAATTGGATTTTCAATATAACAAAACAAAATTTAAAACTTGAACCCGAAACCTTTCTACTAAGTATGTGTCAGCCTTCAAGATTTTCTCCCTTTGCTTTGCATCTTTCGGTTGTCATAAGTAATGGGGGGGAGGAGGGGGGAATGGTTATGGGAAGTGAGCTGGAGGTGTTACAAACCAGAACTGTATAAGCTGGGGGGGGGGTAGATTCTTGCTTAGGTTTCTATCCTATGCTATGCGCAGCTGCAACTCTTTATCAAAATATGTCAAGGTCAACGGACAGAGGCCTCATCACCACCTGGAGATGCCCACATGATGATATACACAACTTTTTTTTTTTTTAATAAAGTTTTATTTGGGTTTTCACACACAAACATCTTTTTTGAAAATAGCATGGTCCCGGGTTGAACTTCTTTATACAGACACAAAACTTAATTTCATGCTCCTTTTTGTATTCTATTCCATGTCTTATACTATTTTACATTTTCTATGTAGTTTTTCCCCTCTTAATTTTCTCAATTTTATTTTGATTATCTCATCTCAATTCAAATCATTATATTTATACTTGTGTCTGTTCTGTTTCAATTTCATATTATCTTTTCTCATTAAACAAATTTTCTCCTGTAGTTACTAATTGGAGTATGACACCTTTATATCTTTCAATTACATCCATTCAACTCTTATTTAAACTTCAATATATACCTTAAGTTTATGACCTTCAATATAATACATAATACATAACTTCCAATCGAATTCTGCTTGGCACATTCTTATAATACACACTATATTCTTAAAAAAAGAAAGAAAGATTGTAAATATATGTAATTATAAACCCTCATTCCATTCCAGTTCAGTTCTATCATTAATAATCATTAAAACCATAACATCGTTAACACTTCTTTCAATTAAATATACTTCCTTAAAAACACATATAATCTCCATAATTAATTTTTCCCTTATTTCTCTTCGCGTATGTTTTATAAATCATTAAATATACCTTTTGTTACATTTATTTATTGACAAGCATTCCACTGAATTACAATAGCTATTTTATCAGAAATTTTAATCATACATTGTTTCATATTTTCTAAAATTATTTCTGCTTCTAATATAACCATACTATCTTATGTACCTTTGCAGAATCCCTTTTTCCATTAAGTTTTCACCCATTATCTCTAAATAGACCCTGTTTCTCTATATTTTGCTTCTGTCCTTTATAACTTCTTTTCCTTTCTTTCTTCCCTCTCATCTTCTCCCTCCCCCCTTTACCCCCTTGTCTCTCTAGTTCTAATTCTCTCTTCTGCATTTCCCTCTTCTGTTGCTTTCTGATTTTATACTTATATTTCACTCTATTTTTTTTGAGTTGTTTTTCCCAATCTTAAACTTTCCATTCTCTTTCTCCCTTTTCCTTTCCCCCCCCATCTAAGATTACTTGTTCATTAAAGATGGCTTCTTCTTTGTTGCAATCTTGTTCCGCAGGCATTTCTTGTTTCTCATAATTCCAAATCTCCATTTCTAAAAACTGAAATACGAAGCCAAAAGAACTTCTCCCTTCTTGTGCATCTTCTTTGTACTTTTTAAGTTCCATTTTCAGTTCTTCTAAAAGTGGACATTTTTAAAAATGTTTTTAAAAAACATTTTAAAAAGTTTTAAACAACCACCCGATTGATTTTAGTCATTCAAAACAATAACCAAGAATCCAAAAATCATCAAGTAATCCAGATAGTCCCAAGTTATATCTTCTTATTTCTTTTTCGACTTTCTCTTCCTGGGGTTTTTGTTGCGATATTTCAGTTAGAATGTATCTTTTGGAAGTCTTGTTGAGTTTTTGCTGTAAGTTCTTTTTTAATTCCAGGCAGTCTCCTCTCTTCCAGATCCTGCCCTTTTATTCTTCCTCTCTCCTTTCCTGTTTTCAAAAGCTTTTAATTATCCAGAAATCTTTATTATCCCTTTGACTTTTTATTTTCAGCATTAAATGCCTATTGATGTCAAAGTGGATTTTTTTTTCCAATTTCTTGCTTAAGTCTCTTAACTGTCAGTATAGGAAAAGGAGAAAACCAAATCTTTTCCCTTTTCTCTCTCCTTCGTAGCTTAAAAATCTTAGGGAACAATGTTACTGTTTTTTAACAGTTTCAATTCCAGGGTACCTTATTTGTTGCTTTTGCTGTTTGACCCGGTCAACCAAAACTTTCTCTTCTTATCTTCCTCCTGCACATTCTTTTCTGGTCGAGTTCTTTGTGGTGGCCATTTCTGACCACTGCTGCAATTGCCTTCGGGAAAGGGAGTAATGGCCAGCTGGGGAGGAGAGATGCGGCTCTCCTCAGCCCTGCTGGCAGTCTCCCCACTCTTCACCACCTCTACGGGGTGGCTTAGCCCCGAAACCAGCCAGCTCGGGGTGCTCCAGCGGCGAGCACGGATCGAAGCCTCGCAGAGACAAGGTTTCGGTTTGTCGCTGAAGAAGCTCAAACCGGAAGTCTGGATTTTTGGCCTTTTGGAATTTGCTTTTGTCTTTCTTTTTGCTTTTGGAGCCTAATTTTTACTCTTGCATTTTATTTTAAAGGAAAAGTCTTAGTATTAATGTTTTCCTTCTTTTTTTTTTTTAAAGGGAGTAGTCTTTTTTCTTTTTTCTCTCTCCCTCTCCTGCATTTTTTAATTTACTTTCCATATTGGGTTTTTTTTTTTTGTGGCTTCCTTTTTTTTGTATACCTTTTCATACCTGAGACTTTTTAATTGGATTAAGGTGTTGAAGAACCTGAAGAACTCCTTTTTCTTCTTTAGTTTTTTACTTTCTATTTTTCTGCCTTCTACAAGATTTAATAATTTTTCCCTTTTTCTGTTTATGGTTTTTTCTTCCTTTTTTAAGTTTTTACTGCTATTTAACTAACCGATTGGATTAAGGTATACAAGAACCTGAAGAAATCTTTTTTTTCCCATCTTGCTTCTTTTTTTCCACTATTTTTACTTGGAATTACAATTGGTTATTTCATGAGTGGATTAAGGTCTAGAAGAACCTGAAGATTTTGAATTGTCTGAAATGAGCAGGAAACTAACAGCGGTTGGTTCTTCAATTCCTACTTCTTCCTTTTCACCATCTGGAGGACAATGCTCAATACAGACAATGTTACAACAAGAACAAGAACAGGAAAAGGTGACATTGCAGATGATAATGCAAGGAATTCAAAGCATACAAGCAAGAACAGAGAATATTGAAAAGAGAATAGAAAAAACTGATGAAAAGGTGGAGAATATTCAACAAATGATGATGAAGTATGATGAGAGATTCCAAAAAATTGAAGAAGATAAACAAAGAGATAAGAAGATTGGAGATATTGATGGCAGATTAACAGATCAGAATTTTATCTCAGATTCCAAAACATAGAGGGACAAAACCTAGCTGAGTTAATGATAAAAACCTTGGCTGAAGCTCTGGAAATAACCAAAGAGAAGATGATGGATGGAATAGACAAGGTTTTTCGAGTCTTCACAAGATATGCAATGAAAAATAGCTTACCAAGAGAAGTTCATATCAGATTTACAAAGAAAGCCATTAAAATGCAAATATTGCAGGTGGCAAGAGAGAAAACATTGAAATATAAAGATAAGGAGATTGTGGTCCTGAAACAAGTACCCAGAAGAGTGAGAGGGATGAGAAGAGAATACCGATTCATGACTAAAATTCTACTTTAAAAAGAGATGAATTATAGATGGCTGATTCCAGAAGGTTTAATGTTCACATGGCAAGAACAGAGACACAGAATTGACTCAATTGAGAGAGCTGAATTATTTTATACTGAATACTTTGGAGGGAAAGAAGAGGAGACAGCAAAAGAAATGTCACTAATTGAATTCCAAGAGGACTGCTAAATAGCGACTGAAAAAGAAGAAGGTGCAGTAGGCGGAAAGGTGGAAAGGAACAACGTGAACCAAGATCTACAAGGCGGAAAAGGTGGAAGTTAAGGAACAACATGAACCAAGATCTACAAGAGCTGCCAAACCTACCTATAAAGTATAACCATTGAAGAGAAAAAACTGATTACATTTAACATAAATGGACTTAACTCAGCTGTTAAAAGAAGGAAAACTTTTGACAAATTAGAGAAATTAAATCTTGATATAATCTGCCTACAAGAAGTACATATTAAAAAGCAACATGAACAACTGTTGATAAAGTCAAAGTTAGGGAAAATATTTACTTCTTTGACACAATGCAAGAAAAGAGGACTGGTTTTATACATTAAAGATATTATCCCAGCAAAATTGATCCATACGGATGACGATGGAAGATTATTAATGGTGAAAATTTTTTACAATAATATGAAAACACTCCTGATTGCAATCTATTGCCCGAATGACAATCAAGAAGAATTTTATAGAAAATTACATATGAAAATAATTGAACTGGACTATGCTAATATAGTTATGATGGGAGGCTTTAATGGAATTGTAGACAATAAATTGGACTATACAACACAGAAAACATCAAAGCAAAACAGAAAGACCCTCCCTAAATCCTTTCTTAAAATGATAGATGAAATAAATTTAAAAGATGCATGGAGAGAAAGAAATGCTAAGACTAAACAATACACCTTCTATTCAAACAGACATTTATCATGGTCCAGAATAGATATGATATGCATGTCAACAGAATTGTTAGCTAATATTCAAGAAATAAATATTGAAACAAATATTTGGGCAGATCATAATCCAATGACAATTAAATGGAAAGGACAAAGAAGAAGATCTAGATGGATGTTAAATAATACTATACTAAAAGAAAAAGACTTCATACAGAGGATGGAGAAAGAACTGCATACAGAGGATGGAGAAAGAAAATAAAAAAGAAGACACATCAACGCAGAATGAATGGGATACAATGAAGGCATATGCCAGAGGCTTGATAATAGACTATACAAGGAAAAGAAATACTATGAAAAGGCTAGCCTCTAAGACATTAGAGGATGAGTATAAAGGACTTGAAAAAGAGTTACAGAAAATGCCACAGAAAAAGGACATTAAGTTAAAAATGGATATAATTAAACATAAAATGGGATTAATGGAAAAAAAAGAATTAGCACAGAAAATCAGAGGTGCAAAACAGAACTATTTTGAAGATGCAAATAAAACAGGTAGATGGTTGGCATGTAAATTGAGAAAGGAGAAAGAATCAAGGAAAATATTGCAATTAATAGAAGATCAAGGCCAAGTTTGCTATGGAGGTAAAGAAGAAGGAAATTTTTCGAGACTATTATGGGAAACTATACACACAAGAGAATATTGATGAGGACAGAGTTAAACAGTACTTACAGAATGCTAATCTACCCCAGATACCTAAAGAGATTGAAATAATGTTAGAAAGCAATATAACAATGATGGAGTTAACTGACGCACTTAAGAAGCAAAACAATGGAAAGGCACCAGGCCCAGATGGTCTTCCGGAGAAATTTTACAAAACACTGCAAGAATCATTGAATCTTCCATTGCTAGAAGTTATGAACGAAGTTATGTTAAAGAAAAAGATAGCTAAATCATGCTCAGAAGCTCATATTACACTTGTCCCAAAAGAGGACGCCGACCCATTACAAATCAAGAACTATAGATCTATTTCCCTACTAAATGCAGATTATAAAAATTTTGCTTCAATATTGGCAGAAAGACTTTAAAAATACCTAAATAATTTTATTCACCCTGATCAAAATGGATTTCTACCAAAGAGACAAATTAAAGACAATACAAGAGTAATCCTGGACACTTTGGAATACTACAAGGCACACCCTGAAAAACAAATGGCTTTGATATTCTTAGATGCACAGAAGGCATTTGACAATGTGAATTGGTGATTTATGTTCTTACAGCTGGAACAGATGGGTTTTGGTAAAAAATTCATCCCAGCAATAGAAGCTATATATGATAAGCAAATGGCAAAGGTAATGATAGAGGAAGAATTAACGGACTTTATTGATATAAGAAAAGGAACAAGACAAGGGTGCCCACTGTCACCTTTGTTGTTTGTGTTAACCTTGGAAGTGCTAAACAGAAATATTAGAGAAGAAAGGACATAAAAGGGATGAAAATTAAAAAGGAAGAATTTAAATTGCAAGCATTCACAGATGATCTGGTTTTCATCTTAGAGGACCCACTAGAAACAGCATTAAAATTGATGGAAAAGATAGAGGTATATGGGAAGGTGGCTGGTTTGAAAATAAATAAAGACAAAACAAAATTTTTGACAAAGAATATGTTATCAAGACAAAAGGAAGAACTGGCAGATGTATTGAAAATCCAGGTCACAAATAAGATCAAGTCCTTGGGGATACATTTGACAGCAAGATGTAGTACACTAAAAGAGAATAACTATATTAAACTTAAGCAGCAGATAGCGCTAGATTTGGTGAAATGGGAAAATTTACAACTGTCATTAATAGGGAGAATATCAACAATCAAGATGAATATATTACCCAGAATTTTATATTTGTTCCAAACAATTCCAATTAGGCTTGGAAAAGATTATTTTGAAGATTTAAATAAAATTTGTTGAAATATATATGGCAAGGTAAGAAAGCGAGAATAAAATTAAAACTTTTGCAAGATGCTAGAATAAGAGGAGGATTTGGTTTGCCTAATTGGGAGTTGTACTTCCAAGCTACAAATTTGATGTGGGTTAAGGAATGGATAACATTAAGAAATGCTAGATTGTTGACATTAGAAGGACATAATCTGTTGTTGGGGTGGCATGCTTTTTTATGGTATAAAGGAACTAAAACACGGTATTTTAGAAGACATTATATACAGGAGTCTCTGTGGTTAAAATGGGAGAAAACTAAAAGGCAATGTTATTTGAAAATTCCAGTCTGGCTATCGACTATTGAAGCATTTTCTTATCCTATAATATACAAAAAGGAACAAACAGTTAGATAAGGTGAAATATTGAATGAAAAGGGTGAACTTAAATCTATGCAAAAACTAGAGGAACAAGGTATAAAGAGGAATTGGTTTTCATATGCGCAAATACATTCAAGGTATGACAAAAATTCTAAAACAGGCTTCTATGATAAACTGACTGACTTCGATAAGATTTTGACAGGTACTGATGAAAAGGTGATTAAAAAATTGTATGGATATTTATTAGAAATTAAACTAGAAGAAGAACAAGTTAAAGAAACTATGATTGCTTGGGGGAAGAATTTTGGATATGGGATTGATCTAGAGAAATGGCAAAAATTGTGGTCTCAAAATTATAAAATGACAATGTCAACAGCATATAAAGAGAATTTGTATAAGATGTTTTACAGGTGGCATTTCCCCCCGATAAGAATAGCAAGAATGTTCAAGAACAAATCTGAAAAATGTTGGAAATGTCATCGGATACCTGGCTCATATTACCATATGTGGTGGACTTGTGTGGATGCCAAAAAATATTGGACTAAAATCTACACGTGATTGGAAAAAATGACAAAAAAGCATATAGACTTGAAACCAGAGATATTTTTATTGGGAATTTTACCTGAAATATATAGTAAAGAATTGAAATATTTGATTGTAAATGTATTAACAGTGGCTAGGATTGTATTTTCCAAAAACTGGAAAAATGAGAAAATACCAACACAGGAGGAAATTATTAAGAAAATATTGGAATGTGCTGAAATGAGTAGATTGACATTTGAAATCAGAGAACAAGAAGATAAACAATTTTATAAAATTTGGGATCTATTCTATCAATGGAAATGAAATATGTAGATTTTTAGAACATAATGAATATATAAAGATGTATTTTTGTTTTATTATATCTACAAAATGATT